ACAAAAAAAATAGAAAAATGTAAAGCAAATGTTCTATTTTAATTTCAAATATATTACTGTTTGAAACGTTTGCAGAATTCACTCTACCTTTTCATATTACTATTAAACCTACTATTAGACAAATGTCTATATTTCAGTGTATACCGCACAATATTTATCATGCAGTAAGCCTGAATGCTATTCTGCACAACCTTTTGTCTCATCTTTGACTCGTGTGTCTCCTAAAGGAGTTGTGAGGATTTCAGATGACTTCAAAGAGGCGCAGGGAGAATTTCTGGGTTACGTCAGCAGGTGCAGCGCAGGGAGCTGTCTGAGAGAGACTTTCTGAAGACTGATAGTTTCAAACAGGGCTTCAGAGAGACAGGTTCAAAACTTCATAAACTGCAGTTTTCTCCAGTAAATGAACTTGCGGTTCCCCGGTGCACTGCCCTCTAGCTAGAATGCAGCAAACTGTTCTCAGGCTGTTTATGAGGGTTCATATTGCAGTTTATGTATCAGCTTACAGCGCGTTTCACTTTGATGTGCATCACCAGCTTAAATAGCATAAACATGCCAAACCACCGAGATAAAAGAGCGATGAAATACCGTCTCAGTTTTAAAATGGATTGACCATCTTTCTGTTCCCGTATCTTTACACAAACAAGCAAATACGCACTCATGTTTCGAATCGCCAGAGTGCAAATGACAACACATTCGATTAGACAAAAAAAATTCACATTTATTTATTGTTAAACAAGTGTAGAACTTTACATCCTTTGTAGAGATGGGCTCCTTAACAAGTTTATCAGAGATGGGTTTCTTAATTATGCTTATGAGGATGAACTACGTCGACCAGTGCTGTAAAATATTCACAAAAGTATCATTTTTAAAGAATAATTTAATAAATAAATATTTAACCCCAGCTGCAGTAATATGTCTATAAAGAAGAAAGTCCTCCTTCATGCTCAGCTGCGGCCTTCAGTCGCTACATTTTTCATGCTTTGCACAGATTTGCACAAAATAAATGTGTGCAAGGCACGAGAACATCAGAATCTTGTAAAATGAACTGATGTGAAGCAGCAAACCCATTTTCATGAACAGGACAGATAAATTTCCATGTCTTTCGCAGCGTACCTGTGGTCATCCAGCGATTGCATCATCATAAACACGCTTCGAAACTTTTTACATAGTCATCTCATTTTCAAAATCTCTTCATTTGCTTTATATTTAGGGTCGTTCTTGATTATTTCATAGCGATTTATTTTACACAATCAATACAACAAAATATATTGTTCTATGTTATATCATTACCCTTGACAGTTCAGTGTATGATTGAGAAAATATAAGGCCTGGGGTTTGTTTTCTATAGTGGTCATATGGTAGTTTGCCGATGATTGTAAAGGGTGTTACAGGACTCCTTTAGTTCAGTCAGGACAATCTCTGCATGTCTTAAGGTCCTGGAAATTCCATTTTTGTATACTGTATAATAAACAAAAAAAGCAAAAGCAAAACTTGCATTCAAAAGAGAAATATGTGAACATATATGTACATCCTTTGAGAAACGTATGCACTGGAACGAGAAAGACTTCTTTTTTTTTTTTTTGGCTTAGTTTTATTTTTATTTATTTTTTATGTGAAACTTTATTTCTATAATCAGGCCCACACGGAATCTGCAACCAAAGAACATTGCAAGGCCCTCATTCTCAAAGTTCTACTGTACACTTCATCTGACCCTTGCTTGTTTGTTTATTAAAGAATTGTGGCTAATTTGATTACATTCAGCTACCAAAAACATGTTTTTGCCATTTTTTAATTGTTACCCTGTTTCCATACTAGTTGTTTTCCAGTAAAAACATTTATTTAAACAACAGTATACTTGCTGAAGTATGTCTTGAATTAAGATTGTTTCTTACCCCATTGGCATTTTTACCCTTTTAAGAATAAACCTTCTTAACCCTTGTGCTGTAAATCCTCTACCTAATGTGGTGTTGCCGGTCATTTAAAAATTTTGAATTTCTTAAGTTATATTATCATCAAATCTTGGATTGAATATATTTGTCAACTTTTTGTTTTCTTGCATTTAGCACAGTTTTTTTTTCTTTTTTCTGTTTCTGAACTGAATGATTGTTGGCTTCATTGATCTGCGCTTATGCTAGTGTTGCCAAATCCACACTTTTCCTGCGGAACTGGGCTACTTTTATACTGTTGCTGCGGGTTGTTTATTTAGTCCGCGGGCTAAAGCGAAATCCCCTGCCCCTCTGGAATGTGATTTTGACTGTGTACGACCCCCGTGGAAAACCCGCTATTGAGCTTGATTTGGATGTAATTGGGCAAGTTTTGAGTAGCAGTTGGGCTGGTTTTGTTATGAAGCTCTGGCAGCCCTGGCTTATGCACCTCAGTTTTTGAGTAAAAACAACATTATTTTAAGATCATTTTGGCAACGTATACCATTTTTGACCAGGAACACCAAGTGGTGGGAAAGGTAGGAAAAAGGTGGGAAGGTAAGAAAAGGGGAAGTATTTATACCCTGTTTGAAGTCAGTAAAATTTAAGTAACAACAACAACAATAATAATATTAATAATAATAAAATTTGCCAGTGGGGTAAGAAAAAATATAATTAAAGGAATCTTAATTAATATCAGGTTTTATGCATTTTTTTAAGGATATTTTACCGAAAAACAAGGCTTGGTATGATCCATTTCACCAACTTAATCCATTGCACTGCAAATTTCCAGCTAAAATCAGCACAGAAAATGCAATAAAAAGTCTGCAGATTCCGTCTGGGCCTGCCTGTAACTCGTTGAACAGCAGCGGTACTTCTCCATTATGTGTGCAGTTATGTGGGAGGCAAAAAAAAGGAAGACCACTCTGCCATCGGTGGATAGGCGGGGCTGTGTACATGGTGGGCGGTGCTTACAGTTCGTTTTAAAGGCTTGTGACCAGCTGCATTTGTCCCTCTCGTACGTCCCCCTCGGGGACACAGGTGTCTTTAGAGACGGGGATGATGAGGCCCTCGCTACTGTCTCTGCTCATCTGATAATACGCGTGCAGCTGCTGGCCTGACCCCAGGTTGGGCATGCTTTTATAGTAAACGTCTTCGCTCGGACTGTGTTTGGATGGCGAGAGGTCCTGGCCGACGTCTAGACTGCTCTCCGAGAATGGCGAGTCTCTGAGGTTTGGCATGCTGGTGTACACCGAGTCTCTGTTGGGGGAGGGCAGGGCGGTCTCGGCCGGAGGCGGAAACTGGCCGATGTAGCTGTGGGGATGCGAAGGCCCTCCGTCCGTGTCGGCCCTCACTCTCTCCTGTGTGTGGTACAGGAGCGAGTGAGTCCGCTGGGGGATGAGGGGGGCTTCGAGCGTGCGGGGATGCGTGTGGTGAAGCCCCAGACCGTCCATCTCGCTGTCCCCACCCACCTGCACCAGGGACGACGTCTCCGCGACCACAGGCTCCTCCCCTCTGCTGATCCCCGCCCCCTTTTTGGTGCTGATCCGGGACTCGGCGGCCCTGAGGTTGTTGTGCACGAGCTCGGAGATGATCATCTTCTCGAAGGCCGTGTCGTTGAGACTGAGCCCGCAATCCACCACCTGCACGCCGTCGCTGTAGTTATGGAGTGAGTAGCTGTTATTAAAGTTACCGTTGAGTGGTAGAGTCCCGAACGTGTTCGTATCTCTGCCGCTGGTCACAGAGTGTCCTGCAACAACACAAGAGGAAGAAAATCGTTAGGTCGTCCGCTCTCGGAGCATCCGAAATATCAAATCACAATGTTTAATGCTGTTTAGGAGTCAAATGCATAAATGCGAACATTTTTAGAACATGTAAAAATCGCAAATCTTTAGTCTGCGCGTGCAGAACTGTAAGGCTCCGTTAGGAAAAATGCAAACTATATTATCGCCCAATGATATGTTAAAAATTGGACATTTGGTGAGCATACGAAAATTGTAAACTGTTTTATCGAACAGCTCCCTATATAAAGTCGGATGCATATTATATCCAATGGATTATATTATATCGCATACATACAATACACTCCCATAAAGCAATATAATATATAGTAAATCTCAACTGCATGATTTTTTACATTTAATCACCAAATGCAGCTATATAATCGCCCAGTTATATATATATATATATATATATATAACTGGGCGATTATATAGCTGCATTTGGTGATTAAATGTAAAAAATCATGCAGTTGAGATTTACTATATATTATATTGCTTTATGGGAGTGTATTGTATGTATGCGATATAATATAATCCATTGGATATAATATGCATCCGACTTTATATAGGGAGCTGTTCGATAAAACAGTTTACAATTTTCGTATGCTCACCAAATGTCCAATTTTTAACATATCATTGGGCGATAATATAGTTTGCATTTTTCCTAACGGAGCCTTACAGTTCTGCACGCGCAGACTAAAGATTTGCGATTTTTACATGTTCTAAAAATGTTCGCATTTATGCATTTGACTCCTAAACAGCATTAAACATTGTGATTTGATATTTCGGATGCTCCGAGAGCGGACGACCTAACGATTTTCTTCCTCTTGTGTTGTTGCAGGACACTCTGTGACCAGCGGCAGAGATACGAACACGTTCGGGACTCTACCACTCAACGGTAACTTTAATAACAGCTACTCACTCCATAACTACAGCGACGGCGTGCAGGTGGTGGATTGCGGGCTCAGTCTCAACGACACGGCCTTCGAGAAGATGATCATCTCCGAGCTCGTGCACAACAACCTCAGGGCCGCCGAGTCCCAGATCAGCACCAAAAAGGGGGCGGGGATCAGCAGAGGGGAGGAGCCTGTGGTCGCGGAGACATCGTCCCTTGTGCAGGTGGGTGGGGACAGCGAGATGGACGGTCTGGGGCTGCACCACACGCATCCCCGCACGCTCGAAGCCCCCCTCATCCCCCAGCGGACTCACTCGCTCCTGTACCACACACAGGAGAGAGTGAGGGCCGACACGGACGGAGGGCCTTCGCATCCCCACAGCTACATCGGCCAGTTTCCGCCTCCGGCCGAGACCGCCCTACCCTCCCCCAACAGAGACTCGGTGTACACCAGCATGCCAAACCTCAGAGACTCGCCATTCTCGGAGAGCAGTCTAGACGTCGGCCAGGACCTCTCGCCATCCAAACACAGTCCGAGCGAAGACGTTTACTATAAAAGCATGCCCAACCTGGGGTCAGGCCAGCAGCTGCACGCGTATTATCAGATGAGCAGAGACAGTAGCGAGGGCCTCATCATCCCCGTCTCTAAAGACGCTTGTGTCCCCGAGGGGGACGTACGAGAGGGACAAATGCAGCTGGTCACAAGCCTTTAAAACGAACTGTAAGCACCGCCCACCATGTACACAGCCCCGCCTATCCACCGATGGCAGAGTGGTCTTCCTTTTTTTTGCCTCCCACATAACTGCACACATAATGGAGAAGTACCGCTGCTGTTCAACGAGTTACAGGCAGGCCCAGACGGAATCTGCAGACTTTTTATTGCATTTTCTGTGCTGATTTTAGCTGGAAATTTGCAGTGCAATGGATTAAGTTGGTGAAATGGATCATACCAAGCCTTGTTTTTCGGTAAAATATCCTTAAAAAAATGCATAAAACCTGATATTAATTAAGATTCCTTTAATTATATTTTTTCTTACCCCACTGGCAAATTTTATTATTATTAATATTATTATTGTTGTTGTTGTTACTTAAATTTTACTGACTTCAAACAGGGTATAAATACTTCCCCTTTTCTTACCTTCCCACCTTTTTCCTACCTTTCCCACCACTTGGTGTTCCTGGTCAAAAATGGTATACGTTGCCAAAATGATCTTAAAATAATGTTGTTTTTACTCAAAAACTGAGGTGCATAAGCCAGGGCTGCCAGAGCTTCATAACAAAACCAGCCCAACTGCTACTCAAAACTTGCCCAATTACATCCAAATCAAGCTCAATAGCGGGTTTTCCACGGGGGTCGTACACAGTCAAAATCACATTCCAGAGGGGCAGGGGATTTCGCTTTAGCCCGCGGACTAAATAAACAACCCGCAGCAACAGTATAAAAGTAGCCCAGTTCCGCAGGAAAAGTGTGGATTTGGCAACACTAGCATAAGCGCAGATCAATGAAGCCAACAATCATTCAGTTCAGAAACAGAAAAAAGAAAAAAAAACTGTGCTAAATGCAAGAAAACAAAAAGTTGACAAATATATTCAATCCAAGATTTGATGATAATATAACTTAAGAAATTCAAAATTTTTAAATGACCGGCAACACCACATTAGGTAGAGGATTTACAGCACAAGGGTTAAGAAGGTTTATTCTTAAAAGGGTAAAAATGCCAATGGGGTAAGAAACAATCTTAATTCAAGACATACTTCAGCAAGTATACTGTTGTTTAAATAAATGTTTTTACTGGAAAACAACTAGTATGGAAACAGGGTAACAATTAAAAAATGGCAAAAACATGTTTTTGGTAGCTGAATGTAATCAAATTAGCCACAATTCTTTAATAAACAAACAAGCAAGGGTCAGATGAAGTGTACAGTAGAACTTTGAGAATGAGGGCCTTGCAATGTTCTTTGGTTGCAGATTCCGTGTGGGCCTGATTATAGAAATAAAGTTTCACATAAAAAATAAATAAAAATAAAACTAAGCCAAAAAAAAAAAAAGAAGTCTTTCTCGTTCCAGTGCATACGTTTCTCAAAGGATGTACATATATGTTCACATATTTCTCTTTTGAATGCAAGTTTTGCTTTTGCTTTTTTTGTTTATTATACAGTATACAAAAATGGAATTTCCAGGACCTTAAGACATGCAGAGATTGTCCTGACTGAACTAAAGGAGTCCTGTAACACCCTTTACAATCATCGGCAAACTACCATATGACCACTATAGAAAACAAACCCCAGGCCTTATATTTTCTCAATCATACACTGAACTGTCAAGGGTAATGATATAACATAGAACAATATATTTTGTTGTATTGATTGTGTAAAATAAATCGCTATGAAATAATCAAGAACGACCCTAAATATAAAGCAAATTAAGAGATTTTGAAAATGAGATGACTATGTAAAAAGTTTCGAAGCGTGTTTATGATGATGCAATCGCTGGATGACCACAGGTACGCTGCGAAAGACATGGAAATTTCTCTGTCCTGTTCATGAAAATGGGTTTGCTGCTTCACATCAGTTCATTTTACAAGATTCTGATGTTCTCGTGCCTTGCACACATTTATTTTGTGCAAATCTGTGCAAAGCATGAAAAATGTAGCGACTGAAGGCCGCAGCTGAGCATGAAGGAGGACTTTCTTCTTTATAGACATATTACTGCAGCTGGGGTTAAATATTTATTTATTAAATTATTCTTTAAAAATGATACTTTTGTGAATATTTTACAGCACTGGTCGACGTAGTTCATCCTCATAAGCATAATTATGAAACCCATCTCTGATAAACATGTTAAGGAGCCCATCTCTACAAAGGATGTAAAGTTCTACACTTGTTTAAAAATAAATAAATGTGAATTTTTTTTGTCTAATCGAATGTGTTGTCATTTGCACTCTGGCGATTCGAAACATGAGTGCGTATTTGCTTGTTTGTGTAAAGATACGGGAACAGAAAGATGGTCAATCCATTTTAAAACTGAGACGGTATTTCATCGCTCTTTTATCTCGGTGGTTTGGCATGTTTATGCTATTTAAGCTGGTGATGCACATCAAAGTGAAACGCGCTGTAAGCTGATACATAAACTGCAATATGAACCCTCATAAACAGCCTGAGAACAGTTTGCTGCATTCTAGCTAGAGGGCAGTGCACCGGGGAACCGCAAGTTCATTTACTGGAGAAAACTGCAGTTTATGAAGTTTTGAACCTGTCTCTCTGAAGCCCTGTTTGAAACTATCAGTCTTCAGAAAGTCTCTCTCAGACAGCTCCCTGCGCTGCACCTGCTGACGTAACCCAGAAATTCTCCCTGCGCCTCTTTGAAGTCATCTGAAATCCTCACAACTCCTTTAGGAGACACACGAGTCAAAGATGAGACAAAAGGTTGTGCAGAATAGCATTCAGGCTTACTGCATGATAAATATTGTGCGGTATACACTGAAATATAGACATTTGTCTAATAGTAGGTTTAATAGTAATATGAAAAGGTAGAGTGAATTCTGCAAACGTTTCAAACAGTAATATATTTGAAATTAAAATAGAACATTTGCTTTACATTTTTCTATTTTTTTT